ATCCATTTCACCACATCATCAGTTTGGGGGACCCCATGATGACCTCGCATCATTTTCTGCCAGTTCAGGCACAAACAGAAGGCACACAAGGCTCAAAATTGCTCCCCCGCGGACGGAATCCTTCAGGCTCGGCACTCCGTTGGCTGCTCGACATCTCACATGTCTCGGACCACCACACCCCAAAAACTGGTCATACACTCGTGCACCATCTGAAAAGGTTGCCCCCCACTTTGTCTTTAAATAGAAGCATAGTAAGTACAACCAACCGTGGGGTGACCACCCAAGTGAAGGCCACCAACACGCGGTATCAACACGTGTCAAACGGAATGGCTTTCCGTTGTCGGGGCACTGGAAACCAGCGGCGCGGCTTTCGTATCTGAGCCCCTGTCGGCAGTGGCTTCGTATTCCGCAAGAGCTGGAAGAAGGCCTAGAAAGACCAAGCAAAGCGCATCAACGGAATAGGGTGCTGCAAATGACGAGTTTTCAGATTCTACATAAAGAAGACACTTGGATTCCTTGGGGGGGTTGGTATTATGTACGGATAAATAGCTGACAAGTTTCATGACTTATGACCTAGAATATCAGTTTGCTGGTTCCAAGTAGTTGGGTCATGGAATACATACAAAGTATATTTTCATATGTTTCCCTGTCTTTCAAGTGAGTCTAGAGGGCATCGCTACTAGTAGCTCCTGGCATTACTACTAGGAACAAGAAGCTACTAGTAACGTCCTTGCTCCTAGTAGCGATGCCCCTTGATCCTAGTAGCTATAGCGCGCCGACTTCGCTCCTGTCGTCAGATGCCTTTGTGACGGAGGAATCTCTTCCTAATCCACTTGTCCGCCGGACCGAACGCATGCTTCCCCTTTGAAGGCTCCAAAGCTCCCGTTCTCAGAACGACGATCCACAGTCGAACAGATCCTGCTTGCTTTGGAGCCAAAGCTTTGGCGCATCACATCGTCGCCTCAGAGAGGTGACCCCGTTGGAAGGGAAGCACATCCTGACGGCGATCGAGCGCGCTCGCTACGCGAGCTAAAGAAAAGGGCGACCGAGAGGTGACGCAGTGTGACCGTGGTCTTGAAACGCGGACATCAAACACCGAGTCGACTGTGATCGTACTACAGTAAAACTCCGGACTTCGGCCGCAGTCCAAATCCGAAGTGCATTGACGTGACGGAAGTCCATGAGTCCATAACACAAGTCACGAAGAATCTTCACCAAACTGACCGGTCAGATTTCGGGTCATCTGACCCCATGTATCTGCTGGCAAGTCTTTGACGTCAAGTGACCGCTTGAACCACCCTCTCGCTCTCTCCTTGCTCGCAGGGTTGCCATAATGATGACATTATACGTGCTGGTTTGGGGAGATCCGCAAAGTACTTTGTCAATCATAAAACCAACCAATCAACAAATTTGTGTTGCTCATGATTCAGTCCTCTTTGTGTACTACTAATTGCAACTATAGTACTACCACCACCACCTCAACAACAACAACTTACTACAACAACTACAACAACAACAACAACAACTACTACTACTGCTACACCAACGACAACGACAACAACAAAGGTAACCAACAAAACACTCTAAGCAGCACCAGTTCCCTGCAGCAACGGGGTCCTGAGCACGGACCCGTTCCTGCACTGCCATCCCCGTCGCACCGCTCCTGTAGCAGGTGCCGATGGTGTGTGCGCAGGATCCAAAGACCTTGGTGGAGCGGTGTCACGCGCGACACTCGCGCGGAAGGTCACGGCGGTCAGAAAGGTGAAGAAGCCGCAAATACGCAAAACCAAGCACTGAAATGTAGATGGGAATATATCAGCCTAATATAGATTAGGTCAAAGCATAAGATATATAATATATATAGTATACATTATACATATGATGTATAGATTTATGCTATACGCTCTGACTCACTAACGTGGAATGTGGAACATATTAGGTTGGAAGAGTAGTTTCCTTTGCGAACAGGGGTTGCTCTACTTCCAAAAGTGACGTCAGAGTGTAGTGTACCTACAGGGACATCTGAAACCAGATGTTATCATCTGTTTTGGGAGTTGCCGAGACCTGGTTGGTCAGTAAAAAGGGCATCCAAACTCGTCGAGCCATGGCCTGGGTTTCTCAGCAGCAATCCAATTCACGTGGCATTGCCACGACCCCTCTTTCGTTGCAAACCCTTCATTCTCAGGTGCGACATGATGCTCGGAATCATGAGGAACCTATCATTTTGATTAGTCCATTAGTAGGTCTTTGACGGTCATCCCCCATTCATCCTGATCAACACCAGTGTCGAGCTGCTGGGCAAAGCCACTAGGAGCTTCGTCACACCTGGTGACGCGACGATTTCAGCGGCGAAAACAGCGGCAGATCGATCTTCGGGTCAGAAGTCAACTAAGAACCATGCAGCCGAAGAGTCACCTCACTTAATTAAGGATGTCTGCCTGTAGTGTTTCGTTGAGAAAGAACAGAAGATAAATGCGCGAAACTTGGGTATGTCTGCGAGTCATGGCGCACATGGCCGGCCACAGGCCACAACTGATCACTGTCACAACTTATGGCCTGCAAATCCAGGAGGTCACTCCACTTCTACGGTCACCACGTTGTTAAAACATGGAGACAGCACGTTTTTTGGGAGATCGCTGGATCACTCCAGATCTCGGTGGCTTGGATCAAGTCGTTTTCGTTGTTCGTCCTGGCTGGGGGGATCCGGTCAAAAACAACAAACGATCCCAGTGAATTCCAAGGCAAACCACTATATTATAAGGAACCAGGGATTCTAGGTCTATGGTGTTAGTCTTTGAAAACACTGGTTACCAGCGAACTAGTGGTAACTGGATGCCCTGGTATGATTACAAACACCGGCACCCGACTCTACAGGTCTCCGACATGGAGGCGACCTTGTTGACTTAAAAGTCGCAGGTGGTGACCTGTTGGAGGGTCCTGGTATAATACACATCTACAAGTACCATCTGCCCAATCCAAGAACCAAGTTCGAAACAGAACTTGCAGAACATGCCGGAGCCACACACATGGCTCCGGCATGAAACATGGCAACAAAACAACCAAACAACTATTACCGATGATCTACCTCGGATCCAGCCGATCCAACCCCTGAGTTCCCCCGGCGGTTCTGAAAGAGCTGACGATCCAGCACCTGACGGGTCTTCTTTCGACCGCTACCGACGGGAGAACTCGGTCCGACCGGCGGCCGAATGCGACGAACGGATCTCATCGGCGGCTGGACCGAAGGTCGACCGATGTCGGATCGCACTGGCGACATCCGGACCAAGTGGTGCAGGACCAGTCCAACACCGGATCGAACATCGGGACTTTGGTTTTCACCAACCAGGTCCACATGTGAGGCCAACTAGCAGGACCTAGCCTCAATGAGTACATCCGCATGCAGGGTACGTAGCGCCATGGATGGTTTTTTCTTCAAACAGCACAGAAACCGAGCACTGCTGGTCAGAGAGCCGTTGAAGGGCTGGAAATCTAACAAGAATACATGCGGCGATACGTATTTTGATGTATGTTGCAACGATGAACATAGAATCTGGGCCCTTAGAATCGAAGGAAGGAAGTTGGGTATTTGGGTGCCTGTTCTAGTTGAACGCCCAGAACAAGTCTCAAATCGCCCAAATCCTTTGAATTTCCGTGATGAAAGTCCGAACAACACACCCGCACCGACTAGTCCGTCGCATAGGGGCACTGCACCCGCCAAGCCACCGCCTATGAACAACCAGTGTCCACACAAATTTGACATGACATGACCCCTCCTTGAGATGCTAGAAATTTGTATATAATATTATGTTCTCAAAAAAAAGAACAAGCAGAATCCACCAGCCATAGACCTATAGCATCTTCCTCGTAAGATCTCATAAGCCATGCATACATACTTACCCTATAGCCATCCCCCTCCAAGAGTACCACCACATCCACCCATCGATCTTGGCCCCCAACGCTCCGGAAATAGGGAATCATCGATCCGAAAAGAACCAAAACCACCCACCGAAACAGTGACCTGGTGAAGCACCGAACGGGCGAACCAAACGCGTCCCGTTCTCGGACGAGGCTCACGGACGGCACCGAGCTTCCGCTCTCGCCTCCGTCAGGAGAGGGGTCGACAAGCGCTTCAAAGCCTAGCAGACACGACACGTGGTGGAGGATGGAGCGGCGCATGTCTTTCGCATGGCTGGACGACGCGTTGAGAAACTGGACTAAACGTATTGAGTTCTTTTAGTTGAAGATCTCAGTTGCCATTGGTTGGGCCCAAGCTGAGTTCGATGTGGTCGTTTTGGGAGGCATATGTTCAAGAAGAACACAGAGGTATAGGAATGTTGAAGCCCGCAAATGTGTTCGCGACACAGGCTCAATTGGTAGACCAGGTTGAAATCATCTTCCCAACGGCCTGAGATCTGTTCATCGTTGGTCTTTGGTTAAAAACCAGGGTGTTCAAACCTTGCAAAACAACATTACTTAGTATTATTGAATGATGGTAGTTTGAGTGTTATTAGTAGTATTAAATAGTGTCTATGGTTTTGTGGCCCAATGTAACAATAAAATCACACTATTGAATTAGCTTAGTTCATCAACTACGAATCGGTGATCCTTATATTGTGCACATTGATTTACTATATTTAAAAGAGAACACAAACGTAGTGCCCAGTCTGCCCAGTAAGAATGCTGCATGATTTCTTTATCCTTCTCTGCGTCGGATCAAGTCGGATTCATGTCCCGACTTACCCAAAGCCTGCTGTGATCAAGTCGGAGCCAAAGTGATTCCCGACACATCGTTGCACAAGGTTCTTCCAGATCCTCTCCACCGACAAGCTTTCAACAAAACCCAGCAGAACCAGAGAATCGCCACTGCCGGAATGGAGTGAAACATCCAAGGAACAGCCGAGGAACAGCACGGCGAGAAGACCTTTGATTCTTTGCTTCTCTGAGGAACAATGGAGCATTTTTCTCGTCTCCCAGCTAGTCGAACTGCTGAGGCTTCGTGCTAGAGCCCCACGCAAGAACAGCAGGAAGAGGACCACTGCAGAGGTACTGCGCGACGATGCGACAAATGGATCAAGACAAGTGACTGGATGCACGAAACTCCAACCAAAGTGACAAAATATTCGCAAGCGATACGATGCAGATCTGCATCAGGCATCAATTCCATTAGGAAGTCAGAAGACATACACCAAAAACATTGCAAAAGGATAGTTTTTACAAACCCACTCACGGACCATCCCTCCGATCCATCCTGCTACCTCACGCCACACCCTTTTGCTCGCGGAGAAAAACAAGGTCAAATGGCCCGTCTACGGTTTGCTCCCTCGAAACAGGATGGGACTAACGCATCCGAGCCATCGGCATGCTGGACGTCGATGGATTGATACTGAGCCCATGAAACCGAACCATGCGAAGCTTTGTTCAATGAGCTATTGGCCATGTGTTCATATGGTACAGTGCTTTCAGAGTATTTATATGGCACAGTCCCCAGGTTTGGTGGTTTATGTGGAACCCCATCTGAAGGACATCTTGGGGTCTGTGCCATCTACTCTGAAACCACTGTACAAAATTGGAGAGGGGATGGTTCACAGGTATTTCAAAAGGTTCAGAGCCCAACTCTTCTGACATCATCATTCTTGAGTCCACGACGCCCATCGGCTGACTTCTCAAGAATTGACTTCAAAAGTTAAGTTGTCTAAAAAGCATGGTTTCATAGTCTAAAATGATTCGACACACCTGGTCCAAGGGCCTCTAGGGAGACCCCATCGAAAAACAAGTGAGCTATCGAAAAACATCGGCAGACCCCAGGGATCGTGCAAAACACGGAGGTCGTGAGCTCAAGGGAGAAGGCCGGCCTGTCCCTGTCATGAATGCTGTGGATCCGCCCCATCGCCTTTTCCCGATTTACTTCCAACAAAGCCCCTTTCACCCATGCAGAAATGGTTCGCTCATGCAGGTGACCCAGAAATCCCAGCATCATCCGATGAAGGTCAAGTCATGTGATGTTCCAGGCTGATGGGTCACCTCAAAGCCAAACATGGAGGGGTGTGGCCAAAAAGGAACTTCCTTCCATGTCCCAAACACTCCCAAAGTATGAAACAAACAGGACCAGAGCCCTTTCTCCGAGAAAAAAAAAAAGACTTCAAAGTCAAAAGCTTCCTCTGCATCTTGGGCCAACTCATTGGGCCAACTTCAGTACTTTGGTCCCTTCAGAAGGTCTCAGTACATCTCAGCACGCCCTACACTCAAGGACACCAGCTATATATTGATCCGGAGATTTCGGGACGTATGGCTTAAATCACTTAAGATGGCTAAAACATGCTCAAGCAGTGATAGGTGAAGACGTCCACGTCCGAAGGTGGCACCCTGTCCTCCCTTGGTCCCGTTCTTTGAAGTGCACATTGACATTTACTCAGGTGCTTGTTTCCAGCATGTATCCATGCAGGAAATGATGTCTACAACCAAAATGGTGTGCAAAAAGCGTAGACGAGTCTGACTGATTCCATGCCCGAAAAAGTACTCACTCGGGCGGTTTGTGCAGAACACGGACTACTTGTGCAAAAGAAACGATCTTCTATGACCCCGCACCGTAGCTTCCTCGTTTTGGAAAGAAACGACGATGTTGTGAAATTTCATTGAACTTGATTGCCGGCAATCACTTGTAGCGGCTGTGATACAAAGAGCCAACACCAACCTAACACCATGCCAAGAGGCAATCGGAGAGAAAAATATAAGAGACATATCATTTACAAGTTGCACATTGATCCCAAATGCATGAAACCGAAGCCATACGTCCAACTCCAATGCCCTACGACAGGTGCAGCTACTCAGGCGCAACTTTTCTTTGGAGAGCCACCTGGGACGGAACAGTGACAAGGCGTCACGTATATAAGGAAAAGAAGGGAACCTTACGTGTTCTACATCATCTCTCTTGCTTCCATTCAAACCATTCAATGAATGATTATAGTCATGATTTCCATCTGTTTCTATGGTAGAACTCGTTCTACACCCCCCCGCGGTTCCAAGCGGAGTACGACCACCGTGTACGACCGGTGTGGGGCCATGTCATCACAGTCCCCCACGGATGTCCTTCGCTTACATCGACTCCCTAGCAGGAAGTGGTTGCTAGTGGATGGCAATGCTTGTCCATGGGAAGGACAGCCATGGCTCTAAAAATCCTCCACCAAGACGAACGAACACCTCATTTGTGACTCCCAGCGCGTGATTTCTGCTCCCCACGAGTCCTGGTTTACCTGAAAGAGAGCAGATATGCTTGGAGTCTCAAGAAGGATCAGAAAGGCTGCTCTCCCTGTCTGTACAAAAATGCAACTGTATGCATATATATATACATTTAATTCTATATATACCAGGTGAACAGGTCTATCCCATATAATCATATGTATATATATATATATTGTATATATGGACTACTCATAATGTTCTTTAATATAACTCCTCATCAAGGCGACTGAACTCCTTGGACTTCCATGGACACACCGTCTCCCACCGTCCGGTCCCAACGAGTGGACACACCGTCCGGGCCTCGAAGCCGTGCCGCCCAGGATTCCAGTGCCTCACCAGCGGATCTGGTCATAGAAAAAGAGTGTGGCGTTCATTCCGCCGGTGTTTTTCAAGTATTTTAGTGGACATGGCGTTCATTTTATTCGGACTATGGAGTTGATGTATTTAGACTGCCAGTCTGGATTTAGACTAATTGTTAATTAGGGATTCATGGTTCCACTACAGATCCGATAATATGAAAAATTTGGACTTGTCGTCCTTGATGTGTTCGGAAGAAGGGGTTCGTGGATTCTGAAGAAGGGGTTCGTGGATTGAACACAACATAAAATACAAAAAACGTGAATCCCCACTATGGGTGTTTCTTGTCACATCTGGAACATACTCTCCAAACATGAGGTCCATGGTTTTACCATGGTTTTACGATTGGGGAGGTTGCCATTCCACTGGTCTACAAGTCCAGGCTGACCCAGGTCCAAACCTGGTCCTGAAAACCTACGTCATTGAGTCTAAGTGTGTGTTTCCAACTCCAGTGAAATGTGGTCAAACTGACCTGTAGGGACCACCGCTTCATAGTAGAAAACATTAGAAAACCACGTGTTCGACCATCTTCCGGGACAGGACTTCGGGGTCTCCACTATGTCCCAAGACATGCGAAAGACTATTCATCCGACCCATGGGTCTCCCTTCGTTCTTCCAATTCACAGCATGTCCATTCTGGCTTTCACAACACCAACCCTAAACCCAACCATTTGGATGTTTCCTCGTGACACCAAACTCACCAGCGCTCTGTCTGTCTCGGTCAACGTCAGGAGTCTCGACGGTCCTTGAGGCTGCGAGCCATGTCCTGACGCTACAGACGAGCCATGTCCAACTTCCACATCACTGCGTCACACAAAAACGATTTTGGTTGCCGTGTTTTTGTTGTTTTGGTTCCCGAGAATCTCCGCAGATGCTGAAGGCAATTCTGAAAGAAGAAGCTGAGGATGGCGATCCATGATATATACATCGGATGAAGGATGAAGCATGAGCCGAATCTGTGGGGAACCAAGAGCTCAGCAAATGTCTTGAGTGGAAATCAATCACGTTGCAGTCGGGTTTTGATCGCGCATGTCATTTGGACTCGACCCCGATTGGACTATTCAACCATGATAAGTCCTTCCCGCCACGGACGCGTCACGAAACAACACCAAACAGCTCAACACAAGCATCCGCAAACTTTGGGGAGGCCAGTCTGTCAATGCATTGCATTTGAACACTCCAGGTAGATTCAATATGCTTATCTCCCAATCACAAGCAAAACACATATACAAGTACAAGTAGGTCAATCATGGCAAAGCAGCCACATTGGTTTGGTACTTTTGCATTTCATTGCCAGTGGGGTGATCATGATTCGGTGGTGAAAGTCTATTAAAATGACTGGTCCAGGAGTCTCAAGAAAATTAGTGTGTCTCAACCTACCGGGTATAGCGGTGCACGCGGTGCTCCAGCCTGTGCTCCGCCCTGGCCAGCGCCGAGTTCGTCGACCGTTCGGGTCTGCTGATCGGAGAAAGAACCACCCGCAGACTTCATACGATGCTTTGATTGGAACTAATTCACACTGTGAATGCTTCAACGCGCGTAGAATCATTGATGTATATAACTAATGTATATAAATATATCATGGTGCGGGAATAACATGGAAACAAAAAGCGTTCTTCAAGCTGGGCAGGAGGTACGTATGCTACATATGAGGGCCCCCTGTTTTATGGGAGAATGCCATGCGAGAATTGCCAACTCTGTGGAGTTCCAAACCCCTCAAACATTTTGTTTTTTGCCTCCAACAACCTGGAGGTGGTGCCAAAAACCCCGACTCCAATCTCAGCCCCGTAGAAGAAGGTCTTCTGCTGGAGGTCCATCACCCTCGTCCGCGGGGTAACAGAAAGCAACCTTGGTCCCTTCCCTCAAGATTGAAAAACTTGAGCAACGTACCTCTTGATGTTCCAAAAGTTCCCCGAAGAACGTTCTGAGAGGAGCCGAGAAGCTGTCATAAACCCATCCAGGGGATGAATTAGGACCGGCTTTCTATGTGGACAACCCATCTTGCCTGTGGGTCACCAAGATACCCTTGCTTGACCGGTCTAAGCTCACGGCGGTGGACTGGTCGGGTTCCAGGTCAAGTCCATTAAAAACACCGGGTATATTCCCAGTTACGTGTTCTTACATGTTGATACATGTTTACTGACTGTATATACCGTGTACACACACCATAGACGAGAGCGAGAGGGAGGCCAACCGGTCGTCTTCCCCGGTCTCCCCGGTCTCCCTCCGCGCACCGGCGAGCTTGGGGAGTCATCGCCCTGGCAGTGAAGCCCTGCCTGTGGTCGCGGAGGCGGAGGCGGTGGAACCAGCCGAGGCTCGGGGGGTACCTCTGCCACCATCTGGTGGAACAGCCTGCATCCTTGGGGTCTACTGCAAAAGACAACAAAAAAGGTGTGTATACTATCAGCCCGAGTGATAGTAGGGGAGTGAACTTTGAGCTTTTTCATTGG